CAACTTCATCAGGGTATCTGGACCACTAAACTAATTGTGCAACACTGATCTCACTATGTCCTATAGAGTTTGAAGTTGCAGACTACTGGAAGTTTTTTTAACATTGACCTCATTTCTGTCATTTGGGGTATCCTATCTAACAACGAAAACAGTAATATAAATGAAGGTAGAAACCAGATAACTTGCTGAGCCACAACAGTTTTGTTGCTCTACTGTTTATTGATTTCTTCATTTTAAGTAGACAGAAGACAAGGGCCAGGCAACAGATCGTTTATTAAAGAAATCAACACATATTTAGATTTTCATCTACATTATAATAGATAATTGTAAGCAAACAAACACAATCTTCTGATTGGTTGTTTCTCGCTGAATGTGGATGTTTCATCTCTTTGTGGCTCTTTCTTGAAGTTGAGATCATCTATCTGCAAATTGTATCCGCCTACTCAAAGTCTGCTGTGATTGATTGTCGAGTCAGTGTTTGTTCTTATTTTTCTCACGACCAATATTTCGGAAATAAACCTTGACGCAAATTGATGTCTACCAATCTGGCTAGCAGCCAGCTGTCACCACAGATGTGCCAACTTGTTCTGTCATTTATATCACTACAGATTCTCACAATAAGTTTGAGAAAATGTGTTTTAAGAACTACTAATAAGAACTCGTGAACTTTATAATACCATAGACACAAGATATGCAACCATCACATTTATTTCCCTGGGAAGATTATATGCTAATACCAAGCAACATTAATATTATCTCAGTGCTTCAGATATTTGGCAATTCACCGAAAGCATTTCTTACAGGATGCAGACTTTATTCCACAGCTGCCTTCGTTCCATACTAGGCACTGGATAGACAGAGAGTATTAGCAACAAGGAACTCTGGTAACGAACCAACCAATAACCCATCGCCTAAAATGTACGCCAAAGAAGATGGAGATCGCAAACACGTTGAGGAGACAGTCGAAAACATAATACGTCAGGGCCTCGAGTGGAACCTGAATGAGAGATGAACTGAGTGTCCGAGGGTGATATGGGAGAGATTGTGTGGGGAGATGAGAGCTTATAAGCAATTGTGGGATCAGCGATAAAGGACTGCAGATCAAGAAATGGAATGGAGATGTACTTTTGAAGCCTAATGCTCCACTGGAGACCCAAGAAAAAAAATAAAAATTTGCAGTACATCGGTTTTGATTGACTGTGTATATTTTATCCGCCTTTATACGCAACATTTCAATTTTAATATAGATTAAAGGAAGAAATAAATAATATAAGTGATAAATTTCAGTCAGCTTTGAGGGGCGACTTTAAACTGGCACTGTTTCTACTAAAACAACGTGTTACATCCTTCTATATGCAGCAGGACTCAAAAGATGGCTTGCATGCTGTGACTTTTAGGCCTATAGATCTGGAGTAAATAGTTAGGCAATTAACAGATATTTAGTTTTGAAAACAGAAGCCTTTCCCAGAGATAAAAAACAAAATTCATTTCTGCGAGGAAATCCTTTGATAGTACATGTGTGACATAAGAAACCTATTTGTCAGTTGAATTAATCTACCCAATATTTAGCCATCGTTTCAAATATTTTTTATAAATTATTTACGTCTACTTTTCAGCTGTTGGCTGCTCGTCGCCTTTCATGTCAGAAATCAAAGCAGTTCCCACCGGTACTATTGTTACAAGGAAGAACACCTTTGACCAATTCTGAAAATGAGGTATGTATGTAGTTTCCGCGCGTGTTCATCTAAGACACTATCAAAATAAATGTACCTCAAACAACAATGCTTGACCTATTTTCACAGGTGAAGAACCAACAATCATCGAATTTCTGGATGTATAATTTGTCCGGAGATGATACGATCACAGACGAACAACTGGATGAGATTCTCAAAGTTGGGGAAACTCAGTATGTTTTAGATGGTAAGATAGAATTGAGAAGTGATGAGTTTTTTAAGTTGTGATTCATGACTGCACACTGATGCTGCTGTCAGTATTCAGACTATTACAAGAACCTCGTTGCAAGACAACTTAGAAAAGTTTACTTGATAAACTCTATAAAACTTACAAATCAAAAAATATAGGCAACAGAATGTCGTTATTTGAACGTTCATGAATCCCTAAAGATTGCAAAATGAAATATTTAGTGAAATTGCTTAAAACGGCACATCATCGGTTAAAACTGTCTGCCGTTTACTAAATGGACCAGAAATGTGAAGTCAAACTCCTACGTGATATACAGTAGTCATAACTATAGGAAGTAAAACTCTTTTTTCAATAATATTAATGTTAATATTTTCTCATTATAATCAGCTTAGATGTTTTGCTTCAAGTCGCACCGTCCTACTTTGAACACACGAAGTAGATAGATCGACATGTCACTGCTTTAGTGTTCCGTTGGTACATAAACGTACTACCGTAAGAACCAAACTATGAAGCTGTTACCAGAGTTAGTTAGCCTATCAGTTTACTACTGATCTCCTGTGGTTTGTTTTCAAAACTGATTTTATCATGTCGTGGTCCACTAGTACATAAGCCTTTTCTAAATAACTGTTAAAAACGCATACAAAACGGATTGACCAGCTCATCTCAAAACTTCGTCAATGAAAAACCTTCCATTAACGCCAGATCGAGTTCTTGAATGACTAACATGAACATCCGAAAGGCTCTCATATGTAAAATATCTAATGACATACAATAAGTCACACAGCCTAGATTTTCCAGGATATTCACGAAAGATAACCATGGGAAGACTTCAATAATTCCTGTCTAGCAGATTTCCAACTCCAGTCCTGCTGGTTTAACGTTTTGTTTTACACCATATCATTACCTGACTTAAATCAAATGAAGTCTTATAAAATATGCTACAAAATTCATATCATACATCTGAATTCCTTTATAGGGGTGATTATTTTAAAATAATACCAAAGGATAGGGTAACTCTTGTACTGAACTAAATATTCATTCTGTATTCTTCACTTAACATTAAATATTTTTGTCGTCACCTTTTCTTTATGATTCTCAGATTCGAGTGATCAAGACTGTCCAGTTGCAAATTAACAAAAGTAAAGACTAAGGGGGTGTTTTCAGTTGATTTGAATATAGCGGAAGACAAAACTCAGTTACTTCATTCCACATGAATTTCATGCTATTTGTGGTTAACAAGTCCTCATTATTAATGTGAGGCATCCCGCCACATCGATTCAATATATGTGGGAGACAAATATAATAATTTTCACTGAGATCTTAGTCGCCTTTTGAAATGCTAATAAGATTTGTGCACTACGATCGTTCACCTCGGCAAAATATTTATAGTGTAACCCGATATACACAAGCATCTCTGAAGGTCAACGCTTCCTACAATTACCAAGAAATGCCACTAAATATTTTCCCATGCTGTTGCATTACAACTGCTTGACACTTGCAATCTGCCAGATCATCGTGCATCATAAACCAGGAGCTTTCCCAGTGTTTGGGAGGACATCAATTCACTGAGGTCTGTCACAAGGTAAAGTATTTAGAAAATGCAAAAGTATGACGAGAACGTTTCAATCGCCCTGAATTACTTTGACTCTCGATAGCTTATCCGTGAACCATAATGTAACAGCAATTATATACAGCGGTACGTGATTACACACATTCTCTAACACGGGCCCGGGAAAGATGGTCATTTGACCGCTGGGCATTTAGAAGGACGGCAAACTATACCGAGGGAAAAGGAAGTCAGCAAAATACATTTACGTGTAGAAATTAGAATGCTTAAACATTTCTGGGGTGACATAGCAAACTATGCAAACGAATGTTGACGATCACTTTGGACTCACCACTCAGGTGAACATATGACTACAGTATAACAACGAAGCTGAATCCTTAGTAGAAATAACTTTTAATAACCAGTAACTAATCTGAGAGCGTGATGAAAAACCCTAGGACTTTCCCAATACCACGTCCGTTTGTAAATATATTACGCATCAGAACTTACTGCACAGCGTGAAGGCAAATGTCATGGGTACCACAAACATGTAAACAGTTCCTATGAATCACCACACTAACATCTAAACTGAGGAATTTCGGATCGCTTCACAGAGACCTTGTCTAACCTCCACACCGTATACACTATGCCTATGTGCAAGACGTCACGTCGGCATACCAGTGACTTTGGCATAGTGCGCATTAATCTAAAGTTTATTTGTAATCCACAACAAAAGTGGACAGGCACCCGGACTCGGCAACTTAGAAAAGTGTTACTAGTAACCAAACCTGATATAATCTGCATACCGACATACTGACCACATTCACCTATATATTGAATCGTTGCAGGTATTCTAGTATGACGATAACCATTACTGATCAGCAGCCAGTACTGAAGTCAAATATTTGAACACACTGCAGGCCAGTGTAAGTTTCCCGGAGCACGACAGAAATCTTAGGGGTTAAAACATTCAACGCAATTACACGACTAAGCAAAAAGATCATTGCAAAATAACCTGTTGGTTATTTTCACCGAATGATTATCCGCATGCTAGAACTAGACACTGCCTGTGTGGTAAAGAGCGAATGGTGAATGGGTGACACTAAAACCCAGAAGGTAATTTCATATGGGTGCAAGCCATCGAAGAGTAACACTAGGAAAATAAATTCATCGAGAAGTGATGCAAATATATAAAAACCTCGAACCGTATAACGGGATAGGGAAGGACCTTATTAAAATATTATTTGGTCAATGAATAATTCAGCTCACTATATTCTCAAGAGCTCTATGGAAAGAAATCTGACCGATGTGTTGTTAGCTACACATCCTTACCGAGGAAGCCAAACGACTGAAACAACTAATGTCGGCTATCACCGTACGTTACTACACATTTAACCTACAGCCTGTTACTTGTTACGCTGGACCTACTGTTGTTATAAGGCACCTCGAAGGACAAGTTGTTCACATTGCCATTGAAATGTGTTACTGAGTGGGAAAGCGTATAGCTGAGGTTCAGTAAGAAATGCAAAACTCATACGTATCCGAAAACTTTATTGAGAAACCCACTACCGATTTGACTTTGCAACGCGTTCTAATTCATCCTTCTTCTTGATGGCGTAGGAATTTGAGCTCCCCTTAAGTTCAAAGTTAAAAAGAAATTATACAACTTACTTTGGCTGCGTTTAATAGCTCGTCAGCTAGACATTCAGAAATAGTCTTCACGTTCCTGAAAGCTGCCTCTCTAGCTCCAGTACACAACAAATATATTGCCTGGTTAACTCGACGCAGAGGTGAAACATCCACAGCCTGACGTCTTACAGTGCCACCACGACCGATACGTGTTGAATCTTCTCGTGCCCCACTGTTTAGCACTGCACTGACAAGAACGTTGAGAGGATTCTACAAATGAAGGACAAGGCAGTTAGGATTTTGATCAGGAAATATTTGAAATCGTTGATATCATACGAACGAGACAAACTCATCATTTGAAGTAATACATAATTTTAAACTCTTCTTACCTCACCAGACAGCAGATGAATGATCTCGAAAGTATGCTTGAGAATGTTCATGGCCTTCACTTTCTTGCCATTATTACGCCCATGCATCATTAGAGAACAGCACATACGTTCTACCAGAGGACATTGTGCTTTTCTAAACCTCTTGATCTGGTAGCGGCCGGCGGTATGAGGGACTATGGGGTTGTTTTTCCGTTTGATGTTTATGAAATCCTAAGGAATGTAAAAACTATGTATCATAATATCCTACAGTTAAACTGAGATCGTTGACATACACATCATCGGCACTCCACTTCCCGAATAGCTTAATCTCCTGCTCAGAATCCATGCCTACAACCACGCATGAAGAAACCTTCAAAGTAAGCGCTACTGAGTCTCGATTCTTTTATTATAACAAACAGTGAACATTTTATCTGCAAAAAGAAACTATGTCCAAGATTTGATTTTGGAGAGGAGTAATGTCGTGTCAAAACATGAAAAAATGCACACCAGCTGGAAACCTGTTCTTTTTTATTTTGTGGTTCCGTATAATTACGTGTATAAACGGTTTGGTCGCCGAAATTAAACGGCACGTCCACATGGCAATTCGAGAAGCTGAGTAAAGAACTCATCAATGAAGCAACAGAACCTGTAGAAAACCTGGGAAAATCAACATATACCACCTAAAATGCCTGTAGTATAGGTACTCTTCTAGTGCACAGTTTTCACTACTAATGCCAAATATGGATGGGTTGTTCTGTGCTGCCATTCTGACCTCAAAGAGTAAAGATTAGCTTATAGGTGTTATCATTTATGAACTCAATTTTCATTTCGATTTTTAGATTGAACACAAAGGTTTAAAACACAAGTCAGTATATGTGAAATGCTATTATGTTGAAGGTGCGTCTTTTCATACACGCTCCTTGAACTAAGTAATTGAGTCAAAACTGCTTGCTTAATATGAAAGGCACTGCATATGAAAGGTCTCAGTGGAACAGTTGCATCAATTCCTTATTAAAAATGGAAGTTTTTATTAGGATAAACAGCACAATAGGCTTCCAAAAAGGTCGAACTTGACGACGCCAAAATAGAAGTTTGGCGCAGATCGAATATTCAGAGTAGAGGCTGACAACTTATACCATCAGTTAGACAACGAACAGCGTCTTTCTGTAGATGAGTGTTAATTTCATCATTTCGTTCCCATTAGCAAGTATCACACTTGAATCATTGATATTAGATGGTTGGGGACAGTCGACACGAAGAATTCGACTTAGGTTTCCTGTCAGTTTTCACTAGTCAACAAGGCATATCTGCAACTTTGAATTCAGTCTTCACACAAGAAAGGACTAGACACACTACACTATTTTCTAGCTACTGTCGAATCGAAGTAACACATATTCTATTTATTTTTAAGCATAGAATTGTTCTACACCCACCTGGTCACCGAATTTCTTGAAAGCGTGTTTGGCTTGAAGCCTCACTTAGTGTCGTATTTGCAAATGATGCAGTTAGAAAAGGGAGTCCTCACTGCACTCGATGATCTCCTTTTTATGAATGTTTTACAAATAATAAAGAGCTTCTAAAATAATCATAATCACAATCCTTTTGAATTATAGCTGCTGATCTCTTTTAAATCAAGTTCTTAAAATCATATGTTAGGTTCTTTTGGTTCACATAAAAACATCAAACACTTGGAAAACTGCTGTCAGTATCTGATTTTTGGATTCTACACTCTACGCGGCGTAGTTAATAAGATAGAGATATATAAAGCCTGTAGACTAGTAGTAAATATAGAAAAAGGATCTAGAGGACACGAAAGCTTGAGAGCAATGCTTGATGCCAACTCCATTAACAGTAATCTGCCTCATTTCTTAATCATGACCAAGATTTGATTTGTTATTACTTTATGTTGTGACAATTATCCGTGCATTTTTGCTGATTGAATAGCCATAGATATCTGATTCTTCCCTAATATATTGCATGTTTATGGTAGGCAGTTATTACGTAATTTGTTTACTTCACAGAATAATTTAGAAAATGGTTATTCTTTGAACAACAGACATATTATGGCTTCGATTATTAGGTTAGGTTCCGTAGGTATTCGACGATGCTACCAGTCATCCAGTAATTCATTTATACCAATGGGTCCATTTTATTGTCTCGTTATGTCACACCCCCACCAACTGCTCTCAGTACTTTCCCCGAATAGCCCCATAGTTCAGCAGCAGAAAAGTAGTGAATCACTGTCATACACTACTGACGCTGTCTAGAAGACTGAAGATACACTAAAAGAGAAAAACGGTAGTACATCATCGATATGCGGACAAGACTGGTATTACATTTCATGGTGTGTTCGAAAAGCAATTTCAGTGCATCTGTGAATCAAGTAACCTGCTGGCTTGACAGAAACTGGCTTTAAGGTTACAGTTTTTGCACACAAACTCAGAAAATAATGTATTTGGTGTCGGTATGACTATTAAGCACAACAAAAAATATATCTGACGAACAGGAAACTTCTCATTGGGAATCTAAAGTAATTGAACACTTACTTGAGGAGACTTCAACAACTTTCCGAAATATATGTCATGATAAACCACTGATTTGAAAAATTCCGTGCTGATTGTTGTTAGGAGTAACTTCTGCTATAAAAGATTTTAAACCCATAGGTTTCAGGAGCTTATTAGACGTGTCGAGAATTTCCCCTTTCAAAAACCGGTTTTCCGCCGGTTGGCGTAGTGATTAATAAGCAGATTGAAGATGGCCACCAGAGCGTACGATTGTTAAATGCTAGTTTCGGGAAGGATGCCAATACTGTTGCTTTAGACTATCGTTATATGGCACACAGGAGGAGTTAAAGATGCATAGGGCTGTAGACGATAAAACAGGGAAGAGTGAGCGACATATTGAAACAGTTTTCGACATCTCCCTTTTACACGCCTGTTTGTATCTCCCAACCCATTTTAACCTTTGGAATACTATTGGCCGTTGACTGTTTTATTTCTCTCGAGGTCATTCAAAGCATATACATATACGCAAGCTCTGTCAGTCATTCTCACTGTTGAAACTAGACTGTAAAAGCTTTTAACATCAGCAGTCAGTCTTTTCTTCTTGTCTTCCTGCGTCGAGGCTTCGGTGGCATTGTATCGTGTTGTTGTTGCTAATATTGGTTAGAACAATAGGCCGGCGAATCGACTAATTAGAAAATTCTCTAACGCAACCACCAAGTGTTATAACCGTCATATGAAAATCCTCCTTGGGTCATATCGGTGAGTTCCAATGTCTAATATAATCTGTGATTCGTTCACTCCACTTCCTCCGGATTTAATGGTCACATGGTTTTGTAGAATTCACAAAGATAGTAGATTTATCAACTATCTGGATAAGCATTCAATTTCGGGCTTTTTGTCTTTGGAAATGTGAACTAAGTAAAAAATTCCTGCACGTAAGACTACCTCTAGTTAACAGTGGTGACAAAATTCTCTCAGCTGGCCGTGAACAGCACCCTGCTCTGTTTTATATTCAGAGTAATGTCAACAGAAATAAATTGATCACTCATGAAAACACAAAGTCTAAAGGAGCATCCAAGCATGCAGCAAACAAACAAGATTCTTGGAAAAGGTTGCTGGATAGCGGAATATTTTTGGCAAAACCAACAAAATATAAAGTATTCCGGCTACTCAAGAATAAAGAGGCCTCCAAAGTTATTTTGAGGGACCAGGCATTTCGCGAAAGTCGAGAAAATGGCAGTTTATACATATTTTAGCACTAAGAGTGGAAAGATATACTTCTCCTTGTCAGATTTCATCAGCTATGCACACTTTCCTGCAACAACGTGAACCAAAACGTTATCATCCTCTTATAAGGACTGCAATATAAATAAAGTTTTAAAATTAGGAGTGCTTGTTCTTTTCAGTAAGCTCTCAGGCCGAGAAAGCACTATATGTGAAAAGCAGACTGTGTGAAGTTAGGAACACCTTTACGACTCTGTGTGGGGACTATTTTGCCGACATGTGTCCTATTTCCCACTATAATTACTGACAATACAATATTTGGGCCGTACTACAGCTTCAACAGAGGTGGCTTAGTTTAGAAATTTTCTGTTTCCGAAGTATGAAAACAGTGCTGCTACATAAATTTGATGAGCACAAAACCGGCTCTCTTTTAAGCATAAAACAATTGTTTATTTATTCCTTGCCGTTCCCAATGGAACATAGGGCTTCATGCTGCATCTTTTGAAGTTTCAGCAGCAGTAATGCTTTGTTACGGGGTAAGTTTGCTAGCCTAACAACCAGCCCCTCCCTTTCGCCTAAGGGAGGTGAAGGATCGGGGGACTGAGCCCCGGACCACTCGTATGATTGCTCATTGTTCTGCCACTGAACAACCAACGCACTGAACATAAAACATACCGAGTGGTAATGATGTGTGGAATCAAATGCCCAGTGAACAGCGTTTACATAAGTATGAGAAAGTAGAAATGTGGGAGAGATGCAAGGCCTGCCCTGAGTGGTAGACAGTCGCATAAAACAGTCAACAGTCCCATGATAATCACTAGGAACAAAGACGGGGTATTACTGATAGGTGAACTATCGCTGCATCTGTTAGTCACAACCAACATCTTATTTAAAATAATGGTTAGCTTACTTATGGAGAAATTCAAAGAAATAAGTGTAGAAAGAGTTTGTGATAGAAATCATGATGAGTTGACTGCATGGGAGATAAGTTGAGGTATAGGATAGTAGCTCTACTAGACCAGAAAACATTGGGGAGTGTTTAGGGACCGACTTTGCCATCAAAATAACTATTCAAATTACCGACTGGTAGTTCGTAATGTTGTAGAAGACTAGTCATGTTTTAGTTCCTTTATTTTCAAGAGTATGGCAGAGGGCAAGTGAAGCGGGAAACCCAAGGCAAACACATGGAAAGGGCATTACTCATATAATGGGTGAGTAAGGCCTAAAAAACCACAAAGAAAACATAATTCCCTCTTTGTTACTCATCCCATCATTCTGAGGTGGTTAATCAGTCACCACATCTGAGTGGCTTAGCATGCTTTTATAGAAGCTCAACAAACGTACCACTGCCAATAACATGGCAGCATAATGGCTTTTAGGGCCTGCAGCACCTACTCTGCAGGCTATTAGACTAGTCTAAGTATATTAGTCAGGCGACATATGTCAATGTCAGTGAACACTAAAAGAGTGTTCAGGGACCTTGCCCATTAGAAATAGTTTCATTTTCACTGGAAGTGGCGATCCCTGCCGTGACTTTAAGGTTCTCCCACTCACAAGAGACTAGAACGATACGATGAGTAGTGTTGGCATATAGCGTAAACACGTTTATTTGCAAACTTTCTTCAACGTATTTATAATAATAATATAATATATTCTCATTTTTGTACATGAGGGACGCCAGTTTACGGGCATCATCAATTCGGTAAATTACACATACGATTAGTAAG